AGTTCAATTCGGTTCAATACGATTCAGAGTCGCTCGAGTGCTGAACCGAACCAGTGCAAACGTGATATTGATTACAATATAGTAACATTGTTTTTTATTCATTTTACCAGCGAAATTATTACATATATCTGACCTTGACAATACGAATAAAGTTCGTTTGAAGTGTTTTGAGAATTATATATAAATATATATATATATATTTTTTTTTCTCCCAGAATTCATTTCACATCAACAAGCAAATGGTAATGGCGGATGAGAAAGCCCAGCTAATATTATAAATATTGCGTTTAATATGTCACGAAATGAAATTTTAACAGTGTTTCATGCGCGAATGTAGTTCTTACAAACTCAAATCTGTGGTTTATTTATAGATATCATGTGTAAATTTTAAGCGTGCTTTGCCGATAGCGGAGATTCTGACCTCCAGGGTGTCCATCATCACTCATGTATCCGGCGAAACGAGGTTATAATCGGCTAGACATGTGAGACTTCCCCCAGTCTTAGATGGCTCTATAATGAATGTGTTATGAAATTTAGTTTTAACCGTTTTTCATGCGGGAATGTAGTTGTTTTAAACTCAAGTCTGTGGTTTATTTATAGAGATGGTGGGTATTTTAAAATATTGTTTTGAAAATGCGGAGATATGTGACCTCCATGGTGATGACGAGTGCCCTAACCTCATCTAAAGCAGGCTGGTCATTATGACATTTAAGCTGACTTTGGTTTCATGAATCAATTACTTTTGTTCCAGTTTACGTTTTGGTTAAGCACAAAGTTATGTTGATTAAAAATGATTTAATATTTTCATGTTAACCTTATAAAATTAAGGTGCAGTACACCCAAATATGGAAAACCAGGGGACAGTTTAATGCACTGAACAGTCTGAAGAAACTGGTTATTTTATTTTTCTTCACAAAATACTTTGTCAAAAAATAAAATAAACATAATAATAATAATATAAAGTGTGTGTAGAGTTTTTCATGGTCATTTGCAGTACTGTATTTAGATGCACAGTAACTGATTTTTTCCCAAAATTCATTGTAAAATCTGCAGTAGCATACTGTTAATCATGTTCACAGTATGGAAATGTTGAGAATACATTATCATGCTGTGAAAACAGCAATATATACAGTAACACACTGTGCACAGCTTATACAGTAAACAACTGTTGAGAAATGCAGTATAATACCGTGAAAACAACAGAAATCGTTTACAGTGTACTGTGCCACTGCATCGCCTTTACATTTATATTTAACGCAATAAACCAAATTAAACAACACCATGATAAGCACTTTTAAGTGGTGGACTGGAATTAAAAACCAGCATATTTAGCTAGATATTCCTGGCATATGCATATTGAACTCCAAAAAAAGAGAGATGGGATGAGTTGGCTGAGATAATTCTACATGATGTAGCACACACATACACACTACTGCATTCATTATACCACCTAGTATTACTTTATTTAAAATGTATGTCTTTATAATATTAAGCTTGTTCAATATTAATGAAAAAAGTCATGTTTGCAAACATTTATTTAAAAAAAAAAGGATGCATGAGAATGACGGAACATGTATGAGAGACATCGGGTAGTTACAGCACAATAAGAGTTTTTCTCGACTGAGGTTTTGTCACTGCCTGCAGATGTGTAGCCAAAATTTAATCGTTTTGTATTCATATTTAACGCAATAAACCAAATTAAACAACACTCTTGAGTGGTGGACTGGAATTAAAAAAGATGGATCAAACCAGCATATTCAGCTGAATATCTCTGCCATATGGATTACATCCAGATCTCAACTAAACTTTAGGGAATTAAGGAAAATTGAATAAAGGAATAAAAAAGTGTGTGTGTGTGTGTGTGTATACCCCCTCACAAATCTATTTTTTAAATACATATTTTTATTAGGAAGCTATACAATATTATATTAGTGCATATACATTAGATTAGTCAGTACTGAAGCCAAATCTGGAGCTTATCTCACAAAATAACTTACGATAATAGTCCCAAAACTAGTACATCCAAATGTATATGTCATAGAAAAATATTCATTCATTTTCTTTTCGGCTTTGTCCTTTTATTAATCTATGTTTAATAAATCTGTTTTGTTTAAATGCACCTAAATACACTGCCTATGTTCACTGAGAAATGGATAAAAATATTGATTTTGAAAACGAGGTGTAGTTTTAATATTAAGCTTGTTTTATTTTAAAAAATAAATAATGTTTGCAAACATGAGAGACATCGAGTAGTTACGTTATGGATAAAAATATTCATTTTCAAAACGAGGTGTAGTTAATTTTGCTGAGCACTGTATATATATGCACACATACACATACAGGCATACATAGACACGCACACACACACACACACACACACACACTACAAGTAAAATTCAGTTGCTTGATGTAACATTTAATATTTCAACATTAGACAAAACTGACAAAATTATAAACCGACTGATCAAAGCTCAAAAACACAGTGTATTCAAATGTTATTAATTATCACACCTTAAATAAGAAGGATAAATTAATTGTTAAATATTACAGTAAATGGTAAACATCAGAATCATATTTGTTATTTTTTTATATTTGTTTGTAAAGTATAAAAGCATGATAATAACCATTTAGAATGAACACAAAACATTACAATTAACTTTTAGTTCGAGAAAACAGCAGTGAGATTATCATAATTAATACTTCATTGGGCATGTGTAACCCTTTTTTTATGCCAAAGGAACATCTGTACAAATTGCATTCAAAGCTTGACATCTATTGGCCACCCATGATGGTGCCATACAGCCAAAGGTTAAGTGCATGCAGTATCAAAGCACTTTAAAGCAGCCCTCCTCAGGGACAAATAGAGTGGTGGACAGAACTGACTGGGTGGGGGGGGGGGGGGGGGGGGGGGGACAATGACTGTTTCTTGTTGGCACACCACTGAGTTCCCACACAAAAGAGTTTGTTCAAGAGTCAGGCAAACAAAAGAGAATGAAAATGAGCGTTTAAATACTCGTGCAGAGAGAAACAGAGGATGTGACAAAAGAAAAAAAAAAGTTACTCGAGCAATCTTAGCAGTTGTATACATTACACTAAGACGTGTAGAATGGAGATGGTGCATGGACATTTAGACCTTAGACCATATGGTTAAATTCTCACAGCATGAGCGATCATGTCATTAGATTACTGTAATGGGGAAACAATCAATACTTCTGTTGCTATTCAAATGTGGTAGAATCCAGATCATACATCAACAGGGTACTGCCAGAAACATGAGTCAATATAATAATGCTCAGTGCGCCAAGGAGTCAAATGTGTTACGGCTTTAATTGTTATTAAATTTTTAATTTTCATTTCTTGCTAACTCTCTCTGTTTATATGGTATTTTTGAATTAATGTGATCAATGTGTAAGATGGAGGACTGACTAATATGCACTTACATTATAAGATGTCTGAATTTTATCAAGACTACATACAGTATTTAACTGACTGATTATTTAATATTTGATTTAATAGTTCATATGTAATGCTGCTGTGAATGCCAGACATATTGTTAATCACTTGTTTATTACTTAAACTAAGTCTTGGAGTTCTTCAGTCCTGAGGTGTTTTAATTTTTAAATGAATTTCATTAAAGTTTCACAAATTAAAAACCCTTAGGACCGACAATATGGTGACTTCTGAACCATGGTGTGAGAGATTTTACAGAAAATAATAAATGCATTACAATAATCTAAAATGAATCATTTAAAAAGTATGTCAAATTTTTTACATATCTCAAAAGACTCATGGCTAATTAATGCTTTTTCACATTATGTTGTAGTAAAATGGCAATAATTTACTCTTAAATTATATATTATAGAAACTACAGAAAAAATGTTGCGATAAGAATGTGAGTGATTGAGCATGAATTACAGATGCGACGAAGGTTTTTCCTTTCACTGAGCTATAAACATTGAAAAACATTGCGTGAACTATTACTATTAATAATAATAATAATAATAATAATAATAATAATAATAATAATAATAATAATAATAATCTCATCATTGTTGTTGCGAAAATAAACATTTTTCGAGGAGATTTGGGAAACGGGTTTTGTAGAAAAACATAAGCCCGAACTGTTTTATTTCTGCAATATCATGAATTAACGGAGTTCGTGTCACTGCATGCAAATGTATTGGCATTGGTATTTCTTTCACGATAATTAGTTATGCTACATTATGCATCTACCAACAATTATTAATATTCAAAACTAGGATGTAAAAACATATACATTTATATAAATGCACAGGTTTAAAAACATATTTTTCTATAATATTTGCCTGACATATTTCTGTCTTTCTTTCTTTCTTTCTTTCTTTCTTTCTTTCTTTCTTTCTTTATTTTGCTGTGCCAGTGATTAAAAGAAGAACTAAGTTTATAATAAACTAAGTTTAAAATAAGTTAAATAGAAGAAAAAATTAAAATGACAAAGAAAATTCATTATTTTAAGCCGAAAGTCAGCCGTTTGTCTTTAACATGTTTTTGCCACGCAATTCTTTAAAAAGTTTGGGGTTTCAGTGTAACATGCAGTCAAAGCAATAAAATGATTAATTAAAATTAAGATTTATAGACGAATATGTCACTTTTAACTAAATTCGCGTCAATTGCAAATTGATGCATTATATTTGTTATAATCTATTAGCTAATAAAGAGTCCCATAAGAATAGCAAGATCCACCGTTTGCTATAAGAAAAGTACCACAAACACTTTCAATGTGACCACTTTAACATCATAATACCCTTAATTTTTGACTCTGATCTAATTATAAAGCATTTTAAGGCGGAGTAAAAAATAAACGCAAAGCAAATCCGGCAAACTACATTTTAAGCTTTTATTTGTTGATCAAAAATGTAATAATTTTCTACCACTGGCTCACAGTTACACTTATTTGCGCTCATTTAATAAAGCAGCACGAAGATATAAGAGAGCCCAGAAACAAACACTGGAAGACTCACCGTGTTCAGGAAGCAGCTCCAGAAGTGTCGGGTCCTCGTCCGATCTCAGCTGCTGTGGCTTCGCTTGCTTCCGACGGGACATTCTTCAGCTGCGATATCTTCCTCATTCACAAACATCAGCAGAGATCCGCTGAAAAAAAATCTTCTCAAAAAGTCAAGCTGTAAAATAGCGCAGATGATCTTCTGTTATGTGGATGTATCATTATGATAGTGAATGATACTTTGAATTGGCAGAGCTCCAGTGGGCACACTGATATGGAAATGAGGGACGGACTCCGCAATTTACTACTTCACCTTCAAACATCACCATCCACCCAAAATCACCTCTAACGCCCAGAGGAGGAGGAGGGTCAATTGTTTTCTTTTCTCTGTGGGGTTTTTCCTCTGTACTTCATTTTAGCATGATTTTACTCTGAACTTCGGACGGTTTATGTATATTCCCAACAGTTAGTGGAGTGAGAGGAAAGTGAGTTGTACGGGCTGCTCCGGTTCAGAATAACTTTTCTTCTTTGTAAAGGTTCGTTTCGTCCATTAGTTGATACAATGAACGATTAACACAGTCATCTCTGAGCAAAAAAGAAAAAGAAAAGCACACTTCGTCCTCGGATGTTACCAATTTTTCCAGTGTCAGCAAACTGAAGTTTACTACGGTAAGCCTGAAGTAAGGTAGCCTAGATGTCTTTTAATTAACAATACTTTGCTTCACCAATTTAAATGTAAGATAAAGTGTTCGAATCATGAAAAGTTCATCAGTTTAAATGTGTCCCGTCGTATATCACTCCTTTCAGGATTCTGCGGTGGTTTTTGTCTTCCTCAAGCCCGTTTAAGGACTCTCGCTCCAGGCCTACAAATCAGCTCGAATCGTTAAAAGAAGGTTCGCGAAACAAACCGGCGTTTCATCTGAGGTTTTCAGGTGTGCATTCGGCTGGGTGATGATGCGGCAGCCGCAGAAGTTTGATAGTTCTCGGTGATGGCGCTGGAGAGGTGTGTGTCCGTGTGTGAGACTGTGTGTCGAGTGTGAGGGATTTGCCGAAGGTTTGAACTGAGCCCATTGCGGGGAGCGACCGCTAGGATGTAGCAGGACACACCAATTCACCTCAGCCCGTCATCTGATGCTCTGACTGCTTGAAATTGACCTGATAAAATTACTCAGTGTATCTTATTAGGAGAATTACATTTGGTCTATGAATATGCGCATGGAAAACATGCGATAACGATTTAAATTCTTTAAAAAATCAATTAGACAAAAGAAGAACACATGTTCATTTGTATGAGGATTATAATTAGTTTACAATTTAGTTTTTCCTTCATTATTGATATAGGAACTTTATTTGTTGACCCTTTTATTTATGGTTTGACCCTTTTATTTATGGTAGGCTATATGCATATAATTGTTACAGTGTGTGTGTGTGTGTGTGTGTGTGTGTGTGTTGTGTTATGACGTAGGACTACGCATCGGACAAAAAGTTTCTTTTAGAGCAGGTTTATCACACTTTTTTTTCTTCTAACCTTTCACCTTTCCAAAAGTTGTGTTCAAAAACATTCAATCTTCTATTAATACATGCAGAAGACAAAATCAACCGCTGATAATTGCAGGAGTGTAGCTCAGGTCCTGTATCGATCGGCGTGTCCTGCTATAGAGAGATAAGAACCCTCACTCTTTACTGCAATATCATTTCTTTTGACCTATCTGCTCGCTACAGACTTATGATGAATAGCCGAAGCAGCTAAAGTCTTTTATCACGAGAGTATCCCCTTGATATAAAATTGATTCTTTATAACTAACTTGACACACAGAAACCAAAACGCCCACTTTGCTATTCTCAACAATATCAATATCTTACTGCAGGTCTTCTCTTTATGTATAGGACTATGATGATGAAAGTAGACAAAATCTTCATTAAATCTTTATTTAGTCACCATAAATAATAATTTTTAATAATTTTTTTTCCAAAACAAGAAAAAATACTTATCAGATATCATGTTTAACGTGTTACACATTTTCTATATAGATGTAAAACAGCGTTTGAGGCAGCAGAAATTACCTTAAAAATGTGTGAGCAGTGTGAAAGTCAGGGAGGCGAGGGGATTGAATGGGGAGGGTGTGCTCTCAGTATTCAGCGGTCTAGACGAACAGCAAATGTGCTTTAGCCTAACGAATCCGCTTAAAGCTCTACGAACTGTTCGTAAAGGCAGGCAAAGCACCGATACGGTGTTGTTTATTGTATTCGTTGATTCTTCAGCGATGGATGTGATGAGCTCAGAAGTCAAAGAGAACAGAAGGCAAATCTGAACCGCGACTTGAATCACAGCGACACTTGCCAGGTAAAATGTGGCTACTGAGTTTTATTTGAGATGATTTTTACTTGTGTCTATATATATATATATATATATATATATATATATATATATATATATATATATATATATATATATATATATATATATAGCATATAAAGTGATTAAATTGTCTGTAATTTCTCTAACAGAAGGAGTTACTTTGGCCCACAGACATTTTCTGGTCTGTATGTCAAATGCAAACCAGTAAAGCAGTAATGCCATTTTCGGTTCTTGTTTTTCCAGTAAAGCCATGTTGAGAAACAGTGAAAGTTATTGAAATTAGGAGATTAGAAAATCTACATGTATGAAGAGGGTGTATAGGATGACATAGGGGTTTGTTTTACATTGTGGAAATGTATATTGCATTTATTTAGTATATTCTCATCTGCTTATTTGTAATTTTAGTTAGATCTGAACACACACACACACACACACACACACACACACACACACACACACACACACACACACACACACACACACACACACACACACACACACACACACACACATTTAACAGGAGTATTATTTAATAAAAACACAAAACAACATTACTATTGTTAATAAGAGCTGCTTTCCTCCCCCCAACAAAAAAAGCCCACAATAAAAGGTAATAAGTGAAAGTGCATAATATAAATGTCTAAGTTCAGTCACAAGCACAGATTTTAAAGAACACATGCTGTCAGGTTTGGAGAGCAACTTGCATTAGTAACAAGGCTTGTACAGAGACTCAACTGCTGTTCGTTCTGTATTTGCTTTATCAGTATTATTTGAAGACATTAGCTAAAATGTTTATGAAAATTCAGTAAGAAATCTTAAATTACAGTCTGACCTAAAATACACTCGTCACCGGGTAATATTCATTAATTTGTTTATCTTAAAAATTAAGATAAAAGAGAAGATAACAGTAAAATGCGATTAGACTGATAGTTCCTAACCTAATTGATGCAAATAGAATTGAGCAGTTGAATATCAGCGTTATTGAATTAGCTGTTTGAGTGTAAATGGTTCGGCTTGTTGAGAAACGGTTTGTGTGTGTGTGTGTGTTGGGGGGGGGGGTGTTTATGTGTGCAATGTTTAGAGAGATCAGAGACATGCGAGCATGGTTTGAAGGTACAGGTTAGTTCAGTGTCTGCAGCAAAAGGAAATTACACTGGATGCTGTGTAGCACTACATGCACACAGGGATGTCTTGTCTCAAAATACTGCTGCTCTGTGAAATCTGGTAGGATTATCTATAATCTACCATAAACACACACATACACACACAGGTTTGTACAGCTAACTTGCCCTGGATTAGATTTATATTGTTTTTATACTGACCTAACAATAGATTTAGTGTTTCGCTACACAGTAAACACAAAATTTTTTGCCTTTTTAAAAAATTCTTAAACAATATTTTTTTTGTAAATGATTTTAATGTTGGAGACTGCTGGCCAGCGCACACACAAATGGAAGTTATACTGTCTTTATCTGCATAACTGTGTTATCACTTCAATAAAGTTTCTCTAAGATATCAATTCTCTCTTTGATTATACTCTCTTGATTTTTTTAAAATTTTATTTCTTTGTTGTTGTTTTTGTTTTTACCAGTACAAAAAGTCATGTTACAGGAAAAAAGTCAGTATACTCCTTATATAACCTAATGTATTCCTCAAAAACAAAAACAACCAAGCAAGTCTTTAATGTAGTAACAGTTTTATCATTCATTCTTGGCAAAGAAAAGTCAAAATATTAAGGAAATTGTGTAAACATTTAATAATAATTAACAGTAATTTAAAAATATTAAATGCAACGTGTGCAAGTGAACTTCAATATTTATATAAATATGAATACAAATGTCTGTGTGGGTGTCTGAAAGAGAGAGAGAGAGAGAGAGAGAGTGTGAAAGAAATTTCAATACTTATATTCACGTCTTTAATTACTATGAGTTTTTTAGCTTTATCTTAGTTCAGTTTGGGCTTAATATGCATCATTGCATGTTTTCAATTCCTGTTGAGGGGTTTAACTGTGAAATAAAAGATTTTGCATTAAATAACCTTCACAGTTTGATAATAAATATACCAACTTAGTAATTTAATTTATTAATAAAACATACTAATGCCTCTTATTAAAATGTGGTAATTTAAATACATGTGAAAATGACTAACAACTTTTTCAGTGAAGTCAGTGTTAGCTACTAATGTGTAAGAGGAATTTAATAATAATAATAATAATAATAATAATAATAATTATTATTATTATTTTTAAAAAGCATGGTGGCACAGTGGGTAGCACAATCGCCCTACAGCAAGAAGGTCACTGGTTCGAGCCTCGGCTGGTTTAGTTGCCGTTTCTGTGTGGAGTTTGCATGTTCTCCCCCCGTGTTGCGTGGGTTTCCTCCGGGTGCTCTAGTCCAAAAACATGTGGTATAAGTGAATTGGGTAAGCTAAAATTGTCCTAAGTGTATGAGTGTGAATGAGTTTGTGTGGACTTTTTCCAGTGATGGGTTGCAACTGGAAGGGGATCCGCTGCGTAGAACATATGCTGGATAAGTTGGTGGTTCATTCCGCTGTGGCAACCCCAGATTAATAAAGGTACTAAGCTGATAACAAAATAAATAAATCAATTATTATTATTAATTTTATTAATATTTGTAATGTGTTTTAAGGCATTATGAAACATCAAAAATGTCACATCACAGAGACACAGAATACTGGAGAAAAGTGTGATATATAATCATAGAAATTTATAAAACAATAGTAATTGAATGAAGAATCTGCTGTGGCCTCTAAACACATAAACCTATATTTCATGTGAACTGCAAACAATGAATGAATGTGTGTCACCTACAAGAGTGGGTCACAATCTCCCTTTTATAAAGCTCAAGTTTTCTACACTTTCAAGTTTCAGGAGGACACGCAGGCCTTAAAAATCTTCTTAGTCTTTTAAATATTGTTATGCACTGTTATTTCCCAGTGATGGGTTGCAGCTGGAAGGGCATCGGCTGCGTAAAACATATTCTGGATAAGTTGGCAGTTCATTCCGCTGCTGACCCCTGATTATATGAGGGACTAGGCCGAAAAGAAAATGAATGAATTAATGAATTATACACTGTTAGACCACTCTTAGTTATAATATAGTTATAGATAGTTATGTGATTATTTATCCGATTTTAAATGGTTTATATATATATATATATATATATATATATATATATATATATATATATATATATATATATATAATATAAACCATTTAAAATCTGATAATCACATAACTATATATATATATTTATATATATATATATATATATATATATATATATATATATATATATATATATATATATATATGTATATATATATGTATGTATTTTCATTTATTTATGAATCATAAAGCTTTTTTTACTTTAGGGATTTATAGTGTTTTCTGCTACTAAGTAGTTCTTCATAATTATTTGCCTTTTACTTTCTT